GGCCCGGCGGGCGGCACAAAGGCCCCTGCCCGCCGCCATCAGCCCGCCTGCCGCGGGGCAGGGCCCCCGAGGCAGCTCCTTACTTGAAGGCCACCTGCACCAGGTGCGCCAGGACGTCCTGGGCGTCCAGAGTGATGCGGCTCAGGTCGCGGTCCTGCTTGATGAAGTTGAGCAGCTCGGACGCGTTCGCCATCCAGAAGGCCAGCGCCCCCGCGATGTTCTTCTGTTTCTGCAGACAGAGCGCCCGCGTGAGGGCGGGGCGGGCGCGGGGGCGAAGGCGCGTCCGGAAAGCTGCTGCGGACAGACCAGCACCTTCCCGCGTCACCCCGGCGGTCACCACAGATACCAGATATCGCGGAGGAATTTGGGAGCCCGGCCGCGGGGAGTCGGGTGAGCGCTGCCCCCGGCCGCGGGCAGATGCGCGGCGCTAACTGGCCGCGTGGCTGGAGTCAGTGGGCAGCAGCGCCCGAGCGGGCGACGCCGAGTGGACGCGCTATCTGGTAGTCTGCGAGGCGCGCATGCGCCCGACCGCCGCCGCCCTGATTCTGCACTGCCGGCCCGGACACCGAGCAACGCAGCATCGGACGCTCATCCGCCCCCGTCGCCCGGCCTCGGGGCAGGCCGGGCAGCCCCGGGTGAGATCCAGAGAGTGGGAGCCAGGATGGACCACCAAGAGGAGAGACAGAGCTTTTGTCATTTCATAGGCACACTCGAGTGCGTTAAGCAGGAGTCATGAAATGCTGAGAGGCTGCGCAGGGTTAGAGCCGCGTGGCCGGAGCTGGATGAGTGTTATGGCTGCTCGGCAGTGGCCGGTGCTGTGTCGACATGGAAGCAGCATGAGAACTCGGCCAAGCCAGTGCGGCCGGTCAGCCCGGCGGCATGCCTACCTGGTCACCCTGGTCTAGCTCCTGGAGAAAGACAGACGGAGGGAAATCAAGCAGAACGAGAGAAAGACACTGTCAACGGTCATGACAATAAAAACTCACAACACTGACATGCGCACGGCTGAGGCCGCTCGCCAGGCCGCCCCCACGCCCCGCGGCCCGGGAGGCGGCACGGGGCTGCTGACGCTGCCCACCAGGGGCCAGAGGCCCTGGGGCGCGCCGCCAGCTGCCAGGTGGCCCTGTGCGCGGAGCCACGCGGGAGGACCAAGGGGCTTCTGACGCCTGGGCCGGCGCGTGGGTGTGGTCACCGCGGGTCCACTCCCCTGGGCGCATTCACGGGAGTGAAAGACTCGGAAAGACCGTCGGGCCCAGCGAGAGCCCGACCG